CACCCAACTGCTAGTGTTCTACCTCTCTTAGTGACCCTGTATTTATTTTGTATTTACTCTATGTATACATTTTGCTTCCTCCAATAAAATGTAAGTTCTCTGAGAAAAGGGACAGCACCCTTTTTTTGTCCTTCTATCCTCAGCTCCTAACACAATAACAAACATATAGTAAGCGCTCAATAAGAACTTGCTGATTAACTGATTTTTTAAAATTAATTAAGAATCAACCTGGTCTGACCGAGATGAATGCAGGTATCCAGAGTCCATTCCAAAGTGAAAGTACGTGAAGAAGTGGTTCTGAATGCTGAGGTTTTGAGCAGTGGATGGAGATGGGCATTACCTTCTGGCAATTCAAGGCAAGCTTTGAGAAACAAACTCACCTACTAGTTGGATCCTTGTTAAAATTTAGAAGCTTTTAATCCCTTGTGAAATGCTTCCAATTAAGCCTGTTTTTTTTATCTGCAGCTTGTAGATAATAATAATATTAGTTAAAATTGTTATAGTGCCTGCCAGACTCACTTGATCCTCACAACTCTGGGAAGTAGGTGCTATTATTATTCCCATTTTACAGATGAGGAAACTGAGGCAAACAGTGGTTAAATGACTTGCTCAGGGTCACACAGCTAGTGTCTGAGGCAGGATTTAAACTCAGGTCTTCCCGCCTCCAGGTATGGCATTCCAGCCACTGCACCATCTATACTGGGATATTTTGTATGCTACTCGCATACAGGGGACAAGACTTCTAATTGGTGTGGAGAAAGCTGAAGTTTCATTACGTCTCAGGAAAGTGTAGAGGTGGTACCAGGGCATCTTTTGGAGACGGATAAATAAGGTTCCTGAGATTACTTCAGAGAGACCCATAGAAAGAAAGAGAATGGAAACTGGACTCATGTAGTGAAGTACTTAACACGTCCCTGATTTCCAGCTTGACTCTTCAGAGATTTTAAAGACTCACCGGAGTGAAACTGTTCCCTTTTAGTCCGAGCTACAAGTATCTGCCTCTTAAGAATTCACTCGCTTGCATGTTTTCTGGCATATTTTGACCAGTGGAACTGTAATTTCTGTTTGCTGTGTGCTTGGATAAATGACTTTATTTGCTATTTATGACGGTTTTTTATATAACCAACTTTGGTGGGAAGGAGGTCAGTTGGTGAATTAGAGCTAACAGGCTGCGGTCCTCCTTAACAGTGGCCAAGGAAGTGACTTTCATTTCAAATTCAAAAAACTGCAATCCCAGATCAGCAATATTTGAGGGTGAATTTAAATTAATCTAGCCTAATATCCCCCTTTGGAGATAGGTAAAGCACACACCCAAAAATACTTCTCCTCTATGTTTTCAAGGAAGAAATCACATTCTCCTTTGGAAAGACTGGGCCAAACTCTAGAAATCTATATTCATGACAACCACAACCTGTATATCTACACATTTACATGAACACACATATCCTATGTCCTATTGAGGAATTACAGAACACCATTTTATAGTTATATAGTAAGGAGAGATGGGCATTCCAAAACAAACAAAATGTAAAAACACTTAGAGGAAGGTCTCTTACTGAAGAGTTCTTTGGGAGAAAATGGACAAGAATACCATGGGATAAGGTGGCATACTAGGTGGGCTACAAAATCGACCTATTAAAAGAATACTCCCATTGATGAAATCACAGATCTACTGAAGTATTAGCATATTTGCAGTTCCAATAAGGGCTTCTGTTTATGTCCTTTCCACTATGGCCTCTTCAGCTCCTTTCTTATAGCTAATAAACTGCTTTTAATTTTAGCTCTTCAGTTTAAAATCCTTTGACCTCTGGGAAATATAATTTCACTCCTAGTCTTTCCAACGATAGTCACTCCTTTCTATCTGGCCTCTGATTAAAAGGGCCTGAAGGGATAATCAATTTATTCCTTATTTTCTATTCCCAGCTGAAGAACATTACTATGATGCCTTAACTTCAGAAAAGAGATCTTTGAGTGAACACCAGCAGAACAGATTGACTATTGTGATCCACTGTGTTGCATTCTACCAAATTCCAAGTCATTTGTCCTTTTTCCTAATGATTCTGATATCTGTTTTCTGGTTTCCCTCTCCATCCTATCCACTGATATCCTTGATGAAACTAATATGATTTTTGATAACCCTTCCTTGATTTTCAGTTCATCAACCTCCTCAACTCCCATGACAGCCACCTTCACTCTTCTTCATCACAAAGGGAATCACCTCTTAGCTCTTACTGTCAACCCAAAATTCTCTCTTACATCTCAATCACTTGTTTCTTCCTCGTTTTCTGACCCATTTCTGAACCGGTTTTTACATTCACCCAGGTCTTCAGATCGTCATTCCCCAATGGTTCTCTGTTAACAGCCTTCCACAGGTTTTTGTCTTCTGCAATTTCTTACTTTTATCCCAAAGGCTCATTGATAAAAAAAAAAATTTAAACAGCACAGTACCAAGTACAGATCCCCAGAGGCACTCTACTAGAAATATTCTAAGGTGACATTAAACCACTGAGGTTTGAGTCTGGCTATTCAACCAGTTCTGAAACCTATTGAATCCAAATCTTTAGGTCCATTTCACAAGAATAAGACTTCGCCAAACACTTTGCAAACACCTAGGTAAATTATGCCTGCAGTATTCCCCTGATTTACCAATCTAGTAACTCTGTTGAAAAAAAAAGGAAAGGGGGGTGTAGACTAAGAGAGGTCCAGCATGACATGCTATTGATAAGGCTATGGTAGCTACCCAGAATTTTGACTTCCTTTTCTAGCTGTTTACTAACCATCCCTTTAATAACCTAGCTCCAACCTGCCTGCCTTGTTTTTTTAATACTTAATAGTACGTTCCTGCCCAAAATGGGCTACCAGGTTTTCACAATTTTATTCTGTTCTCCCTCAACTCCTGCATTATTTCAGGCCATTTAATTTGCCCAAAGCAGGCTCCCACTTCAGCTCTTCCTTTTGAGAGCATTCTACTCCTTCTATCAGTCTCTCTACTGGCATTTATTATGAGCCCATTATTTGTTTAGTACTGTGCTGAGCAGTAGGGGTATGAAGAAGGTTAAAGACAGTCCCTGCTCTCAAGAAGCATGCAGTATTAGTTCACAAGGTCTAGTTCACATGGCACTCTGTAAATCCTTGTCTACCTTCTCCTGAGGGAAAGTTCTATCTTTCTCTCCTTAATTTTCCTAAAGAGTTTGCTGAAGTCTCTCCTCTAATTTTATCACAGTGTACCGTACTAAAAGTTGTAGTGCATTTTAACATTTTAATTGACTTAAAATGCACCAAGACTTTTGGGAAACCCTGCTCTTATTTGTAAATCTATCAGATCTTCCCCACTGGACTTGAAGTTCCTACAAGCTTACTGATTTTGATTTCTGTGTCATCTGCACCTAGATAGCACAGGATATTTTAGGTCCTTAATAAATATTTATTTAATTAATTTGACACTTGATGAAAGAGAGTTTGGTGTAGAGTGCATAAAAAAGTCTATGTTAGAACTAGAAAGATCTGAATTCAAGTGTGACCTCTGCTACATACTGTATGACCCTAGGTAAGTAACTTAACCAACTCAATAATCTAGGCTAAAGATTTCAAGCACACTGCCCATGTCTCTATGCAGCCAGAATCACTCTTGAATGTGACCCATACCAGATTAAAATGTAACTGGGAAATTTTTAACAAAATAAATAAAAATATAATAAAACATATATAGTGTTAACATGTGGGTTTTGAGTCATTATGCACCTACTGGGATCCTTATGTATGGTTTAGTCCTTATGTACAGTTCCGGTTTTTATTTTAGTTTGAAACCACTGCTATAGATCACTCTTAAGTTGCAGAGAAGTACTGACCTACATTGGTACAGGAAGTTTCCTTATCCAATAACTCCCTATGCCAATGAAGTAAAAGATTCAGTCTCTATTCCCTATGTGATGCTGATGACCTTGTTTTCAGATGGAACAGAGATTATCATCACCAGAGTATGGGTAATAAAACTGAGGCTCATGGATACTGACGTCCACAAGGATACGTGGGGATGAAGTAGTGCTTTGGGACAAAAATCCAACACTAATTTTGTCTACTACATTATTCTATTATGCTACAATACAGAAAATATTTATTTCATAGGAAGATTTCCTATTAAGGACATTCATATTCTGAGCCATAACATAAACAGGAAAAAAGCTTTATATCTGTTGTTCACTCAATAAAATATGTATTTTTTCATTCTGCTGTTTTTTGAAACTATGTAGCTACCCATTTCAAAATACTTATGCAGTATAAAACTAATTTTCAAAGAAAGATTTATTAACATATCAGTAAATACTGTTTTAGCATTTCTAAGTAAAATCAGACACACTCAACTCAATGTCAATGAACCAAAGATGAAACAATTCATAGACTAGCCAATATACTAATATAAATAACAACTGCCAATTCCCGTCCCCCACAACTGTTGTCTACAATTTCCAAAACTGATTTATTTCCCATGGCATAGTGGACAGAGAACTTTTCTTAAAGCCAAGGAAATCTGGATTTTAGTCTGTCCTCAGACACATATGGTATGTGCAACCTTGGGCAATTTATTTAACTTTTGACTATTCTAGGAAACCTTCTAAGGCTAAAATGCAAAGAAGCACCCCCACCACCTCCTGCAGTATGGGTGCTTTTTCAAAAGAGCATTCCCTATAGACTCCATCCCTATGCACATTTCCCTATTTCTAACCCACACTTATTTCCCAGATTAACTCCAAACTCAATGCTAGGCTTGAGAAGTGGAAAAGAAAAAACAGGAAAATACATGATGAGAAAGAAGCCCAAAATAATATATGATAAAAAATAATCTTATCTATGCTTATCTTATCAGCACAACTAACATCTTTGTATCCTACTGACTAAATTTTACAGAAATGATCATGCTCTAGGGAAATAAACATTTGCATAATAAGTAATGGAGAAAGTAGAATGGATGACATTAGGAGAAACTGTAACAAATAACTTACCTGCTTCTTCCAGGTCTGCACAAAACTTCCTAATTCAACCTTGAATGGGAGTCTTAAGCAAGTTCAGGTCCAGCATCACATTACAATGATCCTGTTAACAGATAAGACAAATCTTTATTGCTTTGGGAAATAACCTGTAATTTACTTCACAATTAGTTCAATGAACTTCCTAGAACTAAAATCTATAAACTCTACTACAAGAAAATTGGTCAATGCTATGAGTTTTCAAGTTTGCAAAATGTGATTTTCCCCTTTGACAGAATTTTAAATCCTCTAGTCTATGTATAGCAGAGGATTAGTTCATCAAAACAATTTATGCTCCTTGAGAACAGGGACTGTTACACTTGTGTATTTTATCACCAGCACCCAGCATAGAGGCTAGCATCCAGCAGGGGGCTAATAAATGATTCTTGACAGACTGACTGAATTCAATAATCTCCTAAGCAGAGTATTGTACTAGATGCTAAGGGAAATACAAAAACAAATCAAACATGTGTCTGCCCAGAAGAGGCTTAAAAGGTGGAAGTAAAACATATATATAAATAATAATAATAACAATACAAATTGGAATGTGGTTCAACAGGGATATAATTTAAATGGTCTGAGAGTTCTGAGGGTGGAGAGATGATATCTGGCTGTTCATGGAAATCTCCCTATTGGAACCTTCCTATTTTTTACTTTCTACTATTAGAACATGGGTAAATTTTTAACAGGTAAAAGTGACAAATGTTGGGAAGGACATTCCAGGCACAGGTAAATGTAAGCAAAGAGAAGAAGGTAGAAGAATATGGGATGTGCTCAATAAATAGGTAGGTAGTCTATCTTGGGTAGAATATACAGCATACGTGAAGACGACCAATATTAGGTAACGGTAGAGAGCCACATTAGAGGGAGCCTTACACAGCAAATTAGTATTTAAACTTCCTTTGTTATGCAATGGAGAATTATAAATGATTTCTGAGAAACAGACTGATTTTAAGAGAGCTGTACATTAAGGGGAAATCATCTGGTAGGTTCCACCTTTAAGGTTGTAATTTCATCATTTGTAAGTGAATTCTACCAAATATTTAAAGAACAATTTATTCCAACATTATATAAACTATTTGAAAAACTAGGTAAAGAAGCACTACTAAATTTCTTCTATGACACGAATATGGTTTTGATACCTAAACTAGGGAGAGCAAAAAAAGAGAAAACTATTGACCAATTTCCTTAATGACTATCAATACAAAACTTTTAAATAAAACATTAGCAAGGAGATAACAGCAATATATCACAAAGATCATAAACTATAACCAGGTAGTATTTATACTAGGAATGCAGAACTGGTCCAATATGAGAAAAATTATCAGCATAATTGACCATATCAGTAACAAAACCAATAGAAATCATATGATTTCCTTTGAGGAAATACAACATTCACTCCTATCAAAAACACTAAAACACATAAAAATCAATGAAGCCTTTCTTAAAATGGTAAGTAGTATCTATCTAAAACAAAGAGCAAGCATTATCTTGAATAGGAATAAACTTGAAGCCTTCCTAATAAGACCAAGAGTGAATCAAGTATGCTCATTCTCACCACAATAACTCAATATTATGCTAGAAACACTAGTCATAACAATAAGAGAAGAAAAGGAAATTGAAGAAATAAAAATATGGAATGAGAAAACAAAACTAACACCCCTTGTAGATGATATGTGTAGAGAATCAACTAAAAAACTAGTTGAAACAGTTAACAACTTCAGCAAAGTTGCAGGATGTAACATAAACCCACATAAATCATTAGCATTTCTATATACTACCAACAAACCCAGCAGTAAGATGCAGAAAGAAATTGCATTTAAAATAACTGCATACAATATGAAATACTTGGGAATCCACTTGCCAAGACAATCTGAGGGATTATAAGAACACAATTACAAAACACTTTTCCCACAAATACATACAGATCTAAACAACTAGAGAAATATTAATTGCTCATGGGTAGGCCAAGCCAATATTAATAAAAATAACAATTATACTTGTTAATTTACTTATTCAAAGCCATACCAATCAAACTACTAAAGAATTCTTTTATAGACCTAGGAAAAATAGTAATAGAATTCATCTGGAAGAACAAAAGGTTAAGAATACCAAGGGAATCAATGAAAAAAATATTAAGGAAGGCAGCCTAGCAGTTCCAGATTTCAAACGATATTACAAATAAGTAATCATCAAAATAATCTTGTACTGGCAAAGAAATAGAGTGCTAAATAAGTGGAAACGATTAGGTACACTATACATAACAGTAAATGACCACAGTAGTCTACTGTTTGAAAAGTGGAAAACAGGTCAGCAAAAACTAGACATATGCCAACATTTCACATCATATGCTGAGTACGAGGTAAATATGGATAAATGATCTAGACATAAAGGGTGATATTATAAACTAAATTAGGGGAGCATGGAAAAATGTACATGTCACATCTAAGAATCAGAGAGAAGTTTATGTTCAAATGAGATAGAAGGGATTACAGGAAGTAAAATAATTGTGATTACATGAAATTAAAAAAGATTTTCCACAAACAAAATTAAAGCAACCAAAATTAGAAGGAAAACAAAAAACTGGGGGAAACTTTTTGTAGCAAATTTCTCTGATGAAGGCCTCATTTCTCAAATATAAGAAACTGAGTCAAATGTATAAAAATAAGCCATTCCTCATTTGATAAATGGTCAAAGGATTTGAACAGGCAGTCAAAGCTATCAATAGTCCTATGAAAAAATGCTCTAAATCACTATTGATTAAAGAAGCGCAAAGTAAAACAAATCTGAGATGCTGGCTCATACCTATCAGATTGGCTACCATGACAGAAAAGGAAAATGAAGGGATGTGGAAAAATTGGGACACTAACACACTACTGGTAGAGTTGGTTCAACCATTCTGTAGAACAATCTGGAACTAGGCCCACAGGGCTGTAAAACTGTGCATACCCTTTGCTGTTGTTTTTTGGTTGAGGCTTTTTTTTGGGGGGGGGTTGTTGTTTTTGTCTTTTTTGGTGAGGCAATCAGGGTTAAGCGACTTGCCCGAGGTCACACAGCTAGTAAGTGTCATACGTCTGAGGCCACATTTGAACTCAGGTCCTCCTGACTCCAAGGCTGGAGCTCTATCCACTGCACCACCCAGCTGCCCCCATGCATACGCTTTGAGTCAGCAATACAAGTGCTAGGTCTGTATCCCAAAGAGATCAAAGAAAAGAAAAAAAAAGACCTATTTTTACAAAATATCTATAGTAGCTCTTTTTAGGGTAACAAAAAAATTGGAAATCAAGAGGATGTCCACCAATTCGGGAATGGCTGAATAAGTTGCATTACATGAGTATGATGGAATACTGTTGTGCTACAAGTAATAACAAAGAGAATGGTTTCAGAAAAAAAAACCTAGGAAGTCTTATATGAACTCATACAAAATGAAGTGAGCATAACCAGAAGAACAATGTGCACAACAACAGAAATATTATAGGGATGATCAACTCTGAATGACTTACAGAGATCCAAGACAATTCCAAAAGACCCATGATGAAAAATGCTATCCACCTCCAAAATGATGAACTCTACGTGGTGATTGAAGTGTATTCCCTTAAATTTATTTTTATTGTTTTATTTTGTGTTTTCTTTTGAAATATGGCTAATATGGAAATATATCTTGTAATGACCTCACATGTATAATTCAAATCAAATTGCTTGCCTTCTCAAAGAGGGAGGACTGACACAAGGGAGGTAAAAAATATGGGTCTCAAAAATGTTAAAAATGATAGTTAAAAATGTTTTACATGTAATTGAGAAATACTTAGCAAAATAAATGAAAATAATTAAGAAAAAGAAAAAATAGATAAGTTTGGAAAATAGGAAAGGGAATGGATTCTGTTGTGGACATAATGAGTTGGACATGCCTATAGGACATCCAGTTCAAAATTCTCAATAGGCAGCTGGTGATGAGGAGTCAAGAGCTCAAGAATCTAGGGGCTAAATAAAGAGAGACAGAAAATTAGAAAGTTGGAAGTGGATTCAAATATTCATAAACCTTGAAAACAAATAAATCCATATGGCTGGCATTGTCTTAAACCTATCTTTTCAGAAAGGCTACAAATATATATACTGCATCTGTCCTTGGCTTCTTTTAGAAAGCTATTTCCAATTTTTAATTGGACATTTTATATTTTTTAACATGTTCACAGGCACAGGGGACAAAATTGGAATTAACTGAATAAATAAAGCAGCTTGCACTGCTGACCCACAGAATTTGGAATGTAGTTAAAGTGAGCTGGCAGGTAAGCTGAAGGAGAAAGGTAGAGAGCTAAGATGTGTAGTAAGTTCTCTTTTCCCTTCTGTGTTGATATATGTGCGTGTTTATGTGTGTGTGCCTGCACACATGCTAAGAGAAAAGACACCAGCTGCTTTGTGGGATTGTGTAAAGAATGTGATTTTGAGAAACACTGACAAAGTGTCTATGTAAAGAAGAAGCAAAAATAAATTCTTAAAAGTCAACTTTTAAAAATGGCCTTTTGGTTTTTTTAAGGGAAAATAATGCTTAGAAAAAAATATCGTACATGAAGTAAACATTCATTAAGATACACCTGATTAAATGCTATCCCAGGAAGCCAAGAACAAATGAGAGTTAAAATGTCAAGCTATGACAAAAGATAAGAGCAGTAAATGTTGGAGGGATTGTGGAGAAACATTGCTTGTGAAGCTATGAATCAGTACAACTATGCAGGAAAGCACCTAGGAATTATGAAAATAAAGTAGTTAAAAATGCCCAAACCCTCTGACCCAAAGATTCCTCTGCTAGGAATACACCCCAAGGAAATAACTAATAAAAAAGAGGATCCATATGCCCCCAAACATTTATAATAATATATGTTATAATAGCAAAGTACTGAAAATAAAATACATGCCCATCCACCGGGAAATAGCTAAAGAAATTATGGTACATGATTGTAACTGAATATTAGGAAACAATAAATATGATACTATATAGAAGCATAAAACTTACATGAACTGATGCAAAATGAGGTGAGCAGAGTCAACAAAAAATATACACAACCGTAA